GTCAACGTTAACAGCGAACACACATGTGCTCACAGCGAACATGCTTCATCACCTGCAAAAACCCCACGGAAGAAAGCTGTCCCTGACCCCAGCGCTGTCGCTCGTACTTTGTTCAAGAGCAACTCCCAATCCAAAGCCATTGAAACCCCAATTCCAAAAAGGCAAAGGGCCAAAAAGCTCAAAGGATTTTCTCTAGATAGTTTTAACGCGGATCTGGAGAACGAGGGAAATGACGAAATTACGATCTTTACCGACTCGAGGGATCGAATCCCTGAAGTTCACGATACCGCGGACAACCCTTTCATTAGCCGACCTAATGATAACTCCCATGACGTTAATATAAGCGTTGAAATGCAGCGTGACGAGAAAGTTCAAGAAGCCCTTCATAGAGATGATGGGATGCTCTACGTTTTGTAAGTGTTCGCTTTAAACTTGTAGACTCTTTTCAACAAATCTAATATCTTTTCCAGCCGTGGAAAGAAAATCTTCCGAAAATTCAATTCCGACAGTGAAGAAGATGACGAGACAGATCATGGTCTGTTGGCATCTCGACCAGATCTTCTAGAAGAGACGAGAATCCCAGATGTCCAGCCCCTGACTCGCGCTTCCATCAAACCACGTCTACTATTCCCAAAGGCACCGCATCGAGGGAACCCGCGTGGTTCGAGATTCGGCGGTACCGAAAAAACCCCAGACCCCGAAAAAACATGTGAAGCGGATACACCTGACAAAAGGATATCCAATCCCGATCCTCCCCATATTAGCAATAAGCATATTCCTACGACACCGCCTTCTAAAATAGCTATATCAACCCCATCAACTCCTATTACTGGTGGCCGCTCTCTTCGTTCGCACGCCAAAGAAGCCCAGGATGGTTTAGAAAGCCCTTCTAAATCTAATAACGGGACTGCAGTTCGCATGAGCCCGTTCGACAGATGGACTAGGACGAAATCCCAAGCGTCGCCGGCGACACTGAGAAAGAGAGTGGGCACTGTCTCGAGTGACACCATCGAACCAGTTATGAAGAAAGCTCGCAACAAATGAAAGAGAGAACTCCATTTTCTTTTGTCCATCATTGACCAGAAGAGTCCGCTTGGTTTACCATTTTCAATCCCTTTTTCCTCCTGTCACAACTCATTACACATTAATCGGCCACATCATTCCACCTTCCTTCAGTAGACAGCTCTTTTATTATCGTACCTTATTTTTTTCCTCCTGCTTACACAGACCTCCATTCTTTCACGTAACCTTTTTTCCTCTTCTCTTACTTACCTTTTAATCTACTCTATGACGAGATCACGACCACAACAATCTGATGTTTCCTTGATTTTAAAATGGCTCATCCTTTCCTCCCTTGACGTTCTCAACCTATTTGATCCATTTTTTTCAGTTGCTCTTACCGGAACAGGCCGAACAAGTGTACGTCGTTTACATCTTGGCTTGGTGCTTCTCTCTTTTGAACTAGACTCTAATGCCCACTTTTATCACTTTGGGGATACCATATTCAATTCGAGTATTCGTGGCAAGGAATAGGAAGTGTTTATTATTTTGTTCGTCAATAAATGTCTTATTTTTTTTTTCCCTTGCCTGGCTTGCTTTCTACTTTTTCCATAATTTTTTTGTCTCTTCTGCGTCCCTGTTGTTGGGTTGATTCTTCATTACCTGTTTACCGTACATTTGCAGGCATGCAGTCATACGTGGTTGTTTAGAAGAGCCCAGAACTCCTGACGTGTTCATTTGACTACACATAAACTGAGGGTATCAAATTGAATTATGTTATTTGAATTGGCAGAGTTGCTGTTTTATTGTACTTCGGCTGTGATTGTTTTTATTAAATATATTCAAAGCCTAGTGGCCACACTGTAGATAAAAATATGCGATGCTGCATCCATCCCTCATGAAATCGAAAACGGGTAAAATGAAAGATCACGTTCGCGTCAAGTCTTGCATCCATGGACACGGAATTCCACCAAGCTTTGGCCCTGGAACCAAAACTAAAGAAATATTTGCAACTCACAGAAACATAACACGCCAGAAATCGAATAAAATACACCTTGTCAACTCAAGGAAGAATGCTTAAACAAAATAATTAAAAAAAGAGGAGAAAAAAAAGACAACCCAATTCCCGTGTAGCATAATATCCACGCCAATGAAGCATAATGCGTTACACAATGTCCAAGTCATCATCATAATCCACATTATTGTCATTACCAGTGCCATCCCCTGGACCACCAAGACTATCCCTCCCTGCATCCCTGATGCCCTTCGAAGTGACAAATCTAGTCTTCTTATTAACAGCACTCTTCTTTATCCGACCCAACTTGACATTGACAGCACTTTTCATCGTGCTACTCAATCCTAGTGCTACCCGCGCCGGTTGTGACCCAGATTCATCGCCTTTCCCATTAATATTATTGCCAGCACCAGAGCTTGGCCTGGTGTTATTGCCGGGAGCATTAGCATCAGAACCTTCTCGTCCCGACGTGCCACCGGCTTGTCGGTGACGCAGGTATTGAGCACCGACGGAATTAGATCTACCAAGTACCTTAGCAATATTGCGCTCCCGCTCTTGCTCCGCGAGGCGCTTTTGAAAACGTTCCAGCTTGCCATTGCCACCACGCGGGAAATCATTAGCAGCAACGATGAAAGGGTCGTCTGCATCAATAAGACTGGCTGCCGAGCGGCTACCTGGAATAGGAGGCCCAACGTAGTAAGTAGATCCCGTAGAGCGGTCTGTCTGCGGACCTTCAGGCTTTAGTCTATATCGGTCTCGATCCTTCAGGTCACGATTTTTGTTAAACATGCCAGTGCGGGAACCTGACCGACCTCCTGGACCAAATGTAGTAGGCCCGCCGTTAACTTCCATTCGCTTCGCGGTTGTCTTGCGAAGTTGCAAGTCAACATGGAATTCGCAGAATTCTGTTTTTCGACCATCGACCCACGTTTCGCATACTTTTCCATCTTTTCGGATTGCTTTGCAAAAACCGAGGTCTTGGGCTTTTCCTATTTCGAGAATTGTGTCGTCTGATGAATTTAATGTGAGGCTGAAGCGATTAGTATCAAGTTTATTTGGTGGTGGGGGCATTATGGAAGGGTTCAGGATGGCGACAACGGTGCCTGGGATGAGTTTGTAATATCTGGGGAACGCAGTGGAGAACAGAAAGAGGTCGATGGACCATTTGAGGTCCGTTAGGGTAAGGACCATATATTTAGATGTATTGTTTGAGCCGTCATCTTCAAGATTTTTATGCTTGGAGGCGCCTTTCTTCACATCTTGATGTTCTTTCGGGGTTGACTTAGATGCTATTATGCCAAAAACGACGTAATCGCCATCTACATCTGGTGGGTCGAATTCAGGTCCTTTAATCGTTCTTAATAAGTCCGGTATTCGCATGGGGCTCTTTGCATCAAGGGTTCGGTTTAGGAAGGAATGGGGCAAAATTCGAGTTGAGAGGTGAAGTCCAGAGAATGGTTCAAATTTGGACGGATCAGTTGCTGTAGTTGGTTTAATATTTTGTGAGTTATCCTCGGTGCTGTCATCGTTTAGCAATGATGAGGTAGGCCGCGTTTCCATCTGGAGTTGAAATTCCTGGGTAGCCGAACAATTACCGCTAGCACTCGAGATATTTTTTGCTTTTTCGAAGTTCAGAACCTGGTGGATTATAAAGATTGAATGACATCGTCCTTCGTGAACTTCCTCAACTCGTTGCGCTTTTCTTGGAAGACTCGAAATTTGACGCTTTTCTTCGGATTCTTTCTTTTGTCTGCAAGTCTGGAAAACGCTCCATTTCATCTTTTGTCAACGGCAAAAGAGGAATTCCTTTTACGGTGCAGAAGTTGTGTTTTCTCCCATCTGCTTTTATCAATTGACCTGCTCTCAGCAATCCTCTCGCTGAAACTTTTGGGTCTTTGGAGTTCCCCGTCAGGTGTGAAGGTTGGTTTCGTGGGAAGCTGAGATATGGGTCTTCCGTAACAATGCCTCACCCCGGTATACTCCAATCGAGCTTGCTGGTCTCCCCGTTGATCTCGAACTGGGAGGCCTACTGAGCGATACGTCAGTTCCCTTCTTCCCTTTGTCAATCCCAAGAACAATCCGTCTCGGAGACACAGGATCCATGGAAGCGGCCAATCTTTTCGAAGGTGACACCGGCACCTGTATATTTTCCTGCTGTGACATATTTGCTGCCTTCCGCTTGCGCTCCGGAATGAATCGCATGGTTGGTCGCGAGGAAGGAGAAGCGGGTGTATCGCTGATAGTCTTCTGCTCGAAACTCGGGGGCTTCGACTTAGATTTGCTCTGCTGTAACTTCTTAAGCTTTAAACGTGCCTCAATCGCAGCCAGTTTCAACTGTAATGTTTCCTCGTCCTCATCCTCCTCTTCCATATCATTTTCGACCCCATCTTCCAGCAGCTGATTCGCTTTCGTTCGTACATATGGGGAAGCATCGAAACTCTTAAGGGAGGCCCTGCCGGCTTGCCGACGTTCTTGCATCTCTTGGAATCGTTTGCGACCATTAGGAGAACTCATGAGCGCTTCATATGGAGATCTCGGAGGCCAACGTAGATCCGCCACTTTCGAGCTGGTCATTAGTTAAATGAGGTGAAGAACAGACAGAACGGTTAACTTACTGCTGTCGACTTCGTAGGTAATATTAATCTGGGAGTTGGCGGTTTTGCTTTGTTTTCATATTGCAAAGCCCATTGCTGAAATCGAAGGCGATGCGACAATCGCTCCCCAAGTGCTATAAATCCTATAAATCATATACTCAGTAGCAAACGTGAATCATAAAATAGGGCGGCTGGTTCTGATATTATTCATATATTGAATAACTATGCAACTGCCCATTGAACAATGCAGTCGCCAGGTTAAGTCGAGTTGTATATTTTTTGAAATGCACAAACCAGTTCTCGTGTCACTTTCGCGCCCAGCCACAACGCGTCAACCGTAGCCGCCGATGCCTGTCATCAACATCCATTTTAAAACTTCAAGTTGTTCTGCTGAACAACACGGCATTTTCTCCGTGTTCAAGAAGAAAAACATGAAGATTGAGTATAGAGTATAGCCCTCCTTGTCGAGTTATTACTAATTGATACATTAAATATCACGATTCCGTCGCCATGAGAACAAGATCGCTGCCCTCCAGAAGCTCAACCAACCCCGAGACATGCAAAACGGCTCTTCCAGAACCTTCAAAACCCCTCAAAGCACTCATTCTACCATGCGATGCGACTGAAGAAGCTCGGTTCATTTTACTTGAGAACCCTCGAAGCGGTGCTCTTTGTCGATATTATTTCTGTCCCAAACTAGGGCTATATGAGTTTACGGCTATATCCTCTACTTCTCCAAGGAGCACTCTATTCACCACGACGAAGTCCGCCACGAGTCTAGTAGCTGATAAGCAAGAGCATGTTGTACGAAATAATTCTAGTAATATGGTGGTCGGGGACGTTAGCACAGAAAACAACGAAATCATTCCGCAAATGGTTGAAAATCGAATACCAACGAAAGCGACGATTGCTAAACAGTCGCAATTGCTCGTCGCAACGCCGGTGGACATCCTCTTTTTCCTCCTGCCCATATTAACGCCAGCTCGCGGAAATTCAACCTCCCGGAAACGCTTCCAGCCCCTGGATGATATGCTCGATTCCCAAGATACGGCCTCAAAAAGCCTGAAACACATCTTGTCTGTACAGTTCAGAGAAAAGGTGGAAGCGAGAATGACGGTTATGTGTGACACTCTCGAGGCTGGAGAGACAATGTACAGGCTTAATGAGGATAAATTGCTTAGGGAATTGATTTTCAAGGCTGAGCGGATGGCGGCGGGCGGACTTCCTCAGAGTTTGGAAGAGCGGTTTATACAGAGGGCATTAGAACTCCCAGTTCTCAGCGTGAAAAGAGATGATCTTCCAACAACTTCAACGTCACCAAACCCTTCTGACCCGACCGATGATACAAATAATCCCGTTGAAACTTCTCAACAGAAGTCCGAGTTACAGTCATCGAGTTCCACTACACCAACTGCAACCCCGTCGGCTTCTTTTACTGCGTCTGATGTTTCTACACCAAACACTGCAACCACTCCCCCTACAAAAGACTCACCGCCTAATTGCGACGTGCGCCACTTACTCCGAGTCCGCACGGCGATATCCTTTTTAGCATCGTCATACCTACCTAAACACCTCTCGTCCCGAGTGGAAACTCTTCTCAACAATCCCGAAACGAGCCCCAAAGATTTTTCTCCCCTTACCCAACATTTAAAACTCGTCGCGGAAATGCGCGCCAAAGCAGTAGCGTCTCGTTCAATGGGTGATTTTTCCCACAAACGGAGGGTTGAGGATGATGAAGAAGTGGAAAGAAAAATGGAGAAAAAGCGAAAGAAGGAAGAAGAAGAGAGGAAGAAGAAGATGGGGGAATCGAGGGCGGTGAGAGATTTGAAAAAGGTGAATGTCTCCGGGATGAAGAAGCTGAGTGCCTTTTTCCAGAAGAAAACTTAGGCAATGTGACAGAGTAATAAATCCCAGGTTATAAATATAAGGCGTGGATCAAGTATGTGACGTTATTAGAGTTGTGCATAAAGACGACATGACATGCCTTTTGGATACTCCAATCACTACGGCCGGTTTTATATCCTCCCTGACAAGCCAGGAACGTTGAAACTCATGACAGAAGCGGCCTTTTTTTTGTCCGAACTGTCACTTGCTCGCCCTTTTGTGGGCGGATTTATTTTCCCTGACAACGTCACCGCCACTCTCCTGCGTGAACCATGATAAAACAACCAGCACAACGAGGGGCGTTTTTCACGTCTTTTTCGCTAGTTTGCCAAGGGCCGGCTGCCTGGACCCATCAAGACTCCTTGTCTCGAGCTGAAAACAATCCCACAACCCTTCCTCCATGGTGAGGAATGGTTTGGTGGTGCTGTCAACATCCAAACATCTCCAACTCAATTATCCAACTCAATTACCGGTAACTATTCTCTCTACGAGCGGTCTGGGAACTTTTAACTACCGTAGCAGCATATGTGATACAATTATACGTTCAAAATTATTATATGCATTAATTATATATAGATAATGGTTACCACCTATTTGTCCGTACCGTCAGCCAAATGCAGATTAAAAGGCCTCGCTCCAATCCGGAGTCACCCTTGACGTATATATGCAAGCCATCGGTTTAAATATTGTTTAATAAGTCCACACATGTATAACACTGAGCGCATAAGGCCAGTCAATAGCGCAGGACATCCAAAGCCTCCTTGATAGCTGTTCCCGTATACGCAGCAAAAGCAGAAACTTCTAAGCACTCTCTAAGATGGCGGCGCCGGAGATCCTAATATCCATGGAAGAAAAAAAAGTTAGGGATGGCACGCCGTCAGCAAATTGTCCCGTACAACACAACTAAATGGAAAATGAAGTGAGGGTGATGGGAGTATACTTACAAAAACGTGCCGTTCGAAGGCTTGCTAATAACTATAGCTTCCTCCAACTTTTCCTGACTGATATCCGGAAACTTTTTATAGTAGTACTCTTTCTTCAAAGCCTCCGTCACGTCAGCAACCTTTTCCTGCGGGACCATATGCACCGTACATCCACCCCAACCCGCGCCCGTCACTCGACTTCCTAGAGCACCAGCCCGAAGCGCAATTTCGCAAATGTCATCTACCTCGGGGCAAGTGCAGTCATACAGGTCTCGGCACGATGCCATCGATTCATTCAGCAATTGGCCCAGGTACTTCACATTATGCTCGTCCAGATGGCCCTGCTTCTGGGAGCGAGAGAGACATGACTTGAAATCCAGAACCCGTCTTGCTTCTTTAAAGCAATGTAGCGCACGTTGACGCAGAAAAAAGCGTTCCGCTTGCACAGGGAAAGTAGAGAGGAATTGTTTCTCGAGATCCGAGACGGATATGCCTAACAATGTAGCAACATCCTCACGCGTGTAGCCTTCTTCCTTGGTCAACATATCCGCGGCAACCATGATAATAGAGTCGAGTTGGTATTCAAGCGGGTCTTGAAGACGGCCTTCCTTGCGCATGAGTTCCTCGTGGAAGTTGCGCAAGCTGTAGCCTAGTGAGCTACAGTCATTAGGGAGGAAAAGCTTGTGCATCTTAGCGAGGACGACGGTCGCTAGAGTACATTCAGCGACGCGCAAGTTGTAGTGCCGTGGTGCTGTTTCGGCCTTGTTAGATGTGACGAAGCTTTGGGCCATGAGGAAGGTTATTTCTGGGTGGGCTTTGGGAACGGGAATGTGTTCGAAATGGAAGGAGGGGAAAAAGCGAACGTAGAGGAGATAGCCGCGGAGGGAAAATATGGACGCCGCTTGATCCATTCTATGATCGTCGTCAGCTATAAGGTGCCTGCTTCGATTTACGAGAAGCTTACCCTCCAGAATATACTCCAACTGCACGCTCCGAAACGATAGCTATATCTTGAAGCTCCTGCTTGGAAATATCATAGCCATTTGCCTTTACTCCAGCCAGCGCGCTAGAGCAGACGAAGGCGGCACTACTAGATATTCCTCCACCAGGAGGCACATTGCCATCCACCAGCACCTCAAAACTAACGGGTGTGAAGTCCCCAAACTGATCCTTTTCTCGTAGTAATTTCAAGGCCACCCGCAGCCCAGCCTTGAAATAGTTTATCCACTCATGTTTCGCGCTGTCGATTTCAACATCTTTATCCTTAGGGATAGTGAATTGCCCACTAGCGAACTTTGTACCGTTGGTATTAGCCACTTTCGCCCAAGATTCTTGGGTTTTCTCTGCCGGATAAACTTTAACAGCTATGAGGACATCGACGCTGACGGCGGTTGGTAAGACATCGTAGAGCGAGTAGTCGATATGTTCGCCGATGATGTTGACTCTGCCGGGGCTCCGCGCGACGAAATCCGGTAAGGCACCGTAGAGTTTCTTGAACGTAGCAATGAAATTGGTCCAGCGGAGTTTCTGGTCGGAAGATATGCTAACTCCACCAGCTGGGTCGGTCGAGTAGACATCCGCGACAGATTCTGTTTGTGGGACAAGCTCGCCTGGGGAATTCATGATGGTTTTTGGAGTAGTCCGTGGTGGGGCACTCCACATGCAATTCGAGAAGCTGGCTTGTTCTTTCTTACTTAGCTAAAAGGCAACTTGTGATGGAAAATGAGGAGGTGGCCGAAATACCATTGAGTCCGGATCGGTTTGTCTTAATATCTGAGTCGCATATACGGTAAGATGACGGAATTGATCCATGGAAACACCTTAACCTGCGCTCCAGAGCTGGTTGCAACAAGGTTGTGAGGTCAGCCAAGGGGGTGGTGCTGCACGTGATTGATGAGAAATTCCCCTCACAGATTTACCCACCCGAAGGCAGCATGAATAATACATGGCGACTGACACTTGTTTTGGATTTGCTGTCCATAGGTACAATTTTGGAGTAAGCCGGTCGACAGGAGAAAGTGGAATATGTCAAAAATCAAATGAAGGAAAACAGAGCCCGAGAAAATTATCCCGAAATGGGTCTTTTTCAAAAAGATATTTCAGAAGTGATCCCTAAGACACAATAAAAGCAGTAGCAGCAGCTGCTGCAAAAGATCAACAATAATAAGATCGAAAGGAACAGTAGCATTTCTCTCAAATTTGCGAAATGAAATGGAACCGTAAAACGCGCTATGCTAATGACCGAGAATATACCCAAGCGGCTTCAGATCCGACCCTCCAACAGGAGGCGAAAATCAAAATCAATAAGGACAAACGTAGAGAAACCGATAAGAATTTAAAAGAATGAGAAGGGGTATTAAGAGTCTGTTGGACATATCGAGAAGAATATTACAAATGCTGTACCATGCATTTTTAATGGGATCATTGATCATTTATATCTGCCCAGAACCCGTCAAGAGAGTGGCTTTTGAGCAAATACGCGATGACTGCAGTTGATAGTTAGCCTTTGAATCTTGTTTTCTCCGATGTTAGCAAAGACTATTCCTTACACTGTGGTGTACATATGGTAGTCTATATTCTTCAGATCGTTTCTTGCCCCAGCAAGCAAGGCCTGTATCATGATGTTGTCCCAGTTCAACACCTTCGAAAAGAGAGCCAGGGCGTAAGGCTCCAAAGACTCCGACATGGCCATCTGCATATAATTCCCGAGTTTTTTCAATTTCTTGTCTGACGACCAAGGCGACAGTGGTATTTTCCGGTTATCCTCCCCAATGTTCGTGAAGCCCGCTTCTTGCACAAACTCCTTAAACTTGCATGCGACATTGACCGGTTTGCCGAACGATTCGGACGCTTCTCCCAAGAGAGTCTGGAACTGATTATACGCAGAAGATTCGGGAAGGCTGTTGTCGTCGGTCGACGCCCAAGCATCGAATTCAGCCAGCTCTATCCAACCCCCCGGTGCCAAATTATCATATGCCTGTTTTAACAACCGCGACCAATTTGCTATCGCTCCGCCCATTCCCCGAATATGGATGAAGTCAAACGGTTGGGTGTACTGCCAATCCTCCTCGGCATCATCGACTTCGAACTGCAGATTTTCGGGGATATAGCCGGGTTGTATGGCAGAAAGATCAGACCCGATAACTTTGGCCGTGGGGTGTGCATCGGCAAAATCTATCGCCCACTATTTCGAAGGTCATGAAACGAATTAGTTGTTACCCGAATCCAGACATCGATGAAGGGCGATAAAGGATATATCATGTCTACTCACAATTCCTGTACCACATCCAATATCAAGAGTGCGCCCAACGGTCTTTGGGATTGGGGCACGGTAGAGTTCGCCATCATAACTGAGCAGGAACAAGTGGTGCATCAAATCCAAGCGCTCTTGTTCTTCCTCATCGTTCGGCATAAAGTATTCACCTGCATGGTAGGCATGGTATCTTCGATGTCCAAAATATCTGTAGAATCGTGGGGATAAGAGGTTTAGCTGCAAATATTGGAACTAATGAGTGGCTAAAGGGTAGAGTAGGGACAACTAACTCGTAACGGCGAATGCTGGAGGTGAGGGAATATGTTTCATCCTCGTCCATGGATGCGATAATCAACTCAAGACGGATACGATAGTATTCAGGTAACTGTGTATCTAAAATATCAAGATTTAAATCGTGGGGTTCAGTGCGTTGTGAGGAGGTGTGTTTTCCCGAGAGAGTGGTTGACACCAAGGATGTGGTTTCCCCATGCTCCTGGGAGGAGAATTACAGGAACACGATTGAACTAGCTAGTAAGGAATAGGAGAGTCGGAATAAAATTGCCACGCACTTCTGCAGGCTATTCTACGCTGGTACAGGCTAGAGGCGGGGGACTGGGTCTGTGCTAGGTCACTGGGGCAAAAGAGCTCTCTCACACCAGCGCCATGCTGGTGGTAGAGGGGACGAACCAATCCATTCCCCCCAACACCCCCCACGGACTCGCAACCACCATCTTGGCTAGCTGGGAACCAGGCCTGTCTTTGTTCTACCCTTCCACTGCCAACTTTTTCTTACGCTGTAGTGGTCAGCTGGGAACTAGGCCCTTGTTTGTTCTGGTCCAGGGATTCAGAGTGACTAAGCACTTATTGTCACCGCTCGGTAAGGACTGTGCATTAGTAGGATAGGACATTTTTATTTGGATAATCTCTGATTCGAACCTGTGATAGCATGTTGGCACACCCTACAGCGATTGCGCTTACACGGGCCTCATAACCTGTTAGGTCGCTGGGACAAAAGAGCTCTCTCACACCAGCGCCATGCTGGTGGTAGAGGGGACGAACCAATCCATACCCCCAACAGTCTGTTCACCCATCCAAGGACACAGAGAACGAAGGAGCATATCGTGGCTCATTATTTCCCTTAGGAGAAATCGACAGCACAGAGGCCCGGGGAAGGCGGTCTGGCAATGGATTTCGAGGGATTTCAGAGGAAACTGAAGAGCCGTCGATAAAACCAAGACTCCAAGCAAGACGGTGGAGCTTGAAGGGCGCGGCAAACCCAGCAAAACGATCAACTTTAATATTGTGCTCACGGCTGGTGGCACTTGGGAGCAGGACTTTTGGGAAGAGATCAGCGAGTTCCGGCGTGATGGAAAACAATAGCCGTGGCAATTGACAGTTTCCTGGCTGCAACATTATCCGTGAAGAAGGTATCCGTAACAAGGCATCCTTCACGACGTGGTGGCTGCGTCGCAAAGTCTAGTGGGAACTTAAGTGGAGGTGCTATGACTGCCAGTAAACCCTCTTGGGTGTTAGTCAACACAAGCACGCCCACGCACGAATCGGCAAGCCAGCTCTCCATCCGCTGCTGGACAAGAGCAGTCCTCCGTTGAGGTGGTGTATTGCGTCGCATCCGTGATCCACCTGATTCTAGGTACTCGGTAACCCAACGTTTTCCTGGCCTTCAGCAAGCAACAGAGGGAGCAGAGCATGTTGCTTCTTACCTCTTTGATCCTTGGACACGGGTCAGGCTGGGGCCCCATCCCATTGGCTCAACGCCGCTCCACACTACCCAGAGACTGGGAATGGCCCGAGAGGAGGCCACGGCCCAATGGCCCATGGGACAGGTCTTGCAGGCTTGGACTGATTATTTTTAATTTGCTGGCGTTCGCTAGGCCCTTTCTGGACCTGTTTGCGGTTATGGGCTCTGGCCTGGCCTGTGCGTATCAAGCTCCCAGGCTTTCAAATTCTGGTTTGCGTGAAGTTAGGGCCTGTTCGGTGTGTACTCGTTCTTTTTGTACGGATCTCCACTTTTTTTAAAAAGTACGGCTCAATATGATGACTGTTCGGTGGACAGAGCGGCCGTACTAATATTACAGCTTCTTTTTGCAAAGTACAGATGAAAAAGGCCAGGTGTTCAGTGGATTGAGCAGCTGTACTCACATGTTTCACCAAGATCATATGAATAAGCAGTATTTAACTTCAACGGTGTGTGACAGTGTAAAATAGTGTAGAATAGCATTCATAGTGGAGGTAGTTAATTAATATTGATTAAAAAGAAGCTTTCAAAAATGTGTTCTTTTTAAATGAAGTTCAGAGTCAGTTCAAAAAGAATGTGTTTTTGCAAGCTTCTTTCTCCATCATACAGAAGATTGGTCAGTGAAGATCAGTATGAAAAATAATCAGCAGTAAAATGATGAGATGAATAAACAGATTCTATAAACTGCAAGTCAACAGTATATCAATTCTTGTCAACAATTGCTTGTCAAAATAGCCATAAATCTAATGATGAGAATCTCTTTAATATCACAGAAAAGAGTATTATAAAGAAGATTTTTCATCAATGTTCTGTATACTGCACAGCTGCTGAATTTAAATACCCATTCTAATTATATTAAAAATGTCACACATTTTTGTTGAGAAATATTCATGCAATTCATTATCCTTTTCAAAAAGCATATAACTATATTTGAATTTAGTGTTACAGATGTGATGAAGATGAAAGAGAAAGTAATGATATTTCTTTATATTGTTACACAAGAATCTTCATATTAAGATGCTGTGGAAAGATTTAAGTATTCATTTGATACAGTTTCAAAGTAAGAATTAACTTTTCATATAATCATCATATGACTTTTGTTGTTTTGAAAATACTCATTCATTTTATATAGAGTATTTCATGAGATGTTGAAAGCACTCTGTATGCTTTACAGCTAGCTTGTACAATTATTAAAACCTTTATGAAATATAGCAAAGACTTATTCAATAGCAATTTTAAACAGTGGTCATTTTTTAGAGATTGTATTGTATGACGGGTTAGCACCCGTTAGTGGTTAACTTACGCAACCAACCCCTTCTGCCTCACGCTCCGCGCCCGCGTAGTTCTAACGATTCTTCCGCGTAACCCTCAATGTTCTTCCACTCCGTGCTCCACTGCGGGGCGGCTTCTGATATTCTTCCGCCCCGATCTCCCCTCTATAAAAACCCCCTTCGTACAACCTTTACTTCTGATCTCTTTTCTCTTTCTTTCCTTGATCAATTCGTAATCTGTATTTAGGATACTGCTAGATCGTTAATCGATGTACGCCCGTTACATATTGAAGCTTTAGATGATATTCATCTTTCAATATTCATTTTTTCTAATCAACAATTTGATTAATGAAATTGAAAAGAATAGATTTCACAGAATGTTTTGACAATGTGTGATTTTGAGATGAATTTTGTGTATATATACTTTGAAATGAAAGATTCTATTCATAATACATGTATTTTTAACCTGGTTCAAGAGTATGATAACTTTTCAATGGAGAAACCCTGCTATTTTCTTACAGATGTTGATTATTTCAAAAAAGTCTTCAAGATATTGATTTTTTATTCTGACATGCAATATCATTTCAAGAAGTTTGAAAAAGCAGGTAAATGATCTGCTAATAAAAAGAAGTTATTCAAAATGGTAATATATTAATGTATTCATTGTATATTATACCACAATATAATTTATAAGCCAATAAAATATTCTAAATTATTTAACCATCTCACACAAAAAGTTGTGATGTTTTAAAACAAGTGTTTGTAAGTGTAATTCATCATTATTTGTAATACTGAGTGAAATCCGGTGATGTTTTTGATTATTTTGAAAGGAATAAAATATAAAGAATGATTTAAAAGTGTTATTATTATTACTACTTCTGCCATTACTTCTGCCATTATTTTTTTCATCATTTCTTTTACTAACCCCACTGTGGCATCTGCGGCATTTGTTGTATTGATGACATTTCATTCAACATCTGTATAATATGATCTCATAGAATATTGATTGAGCTATATTTCAAATTTAGATACAGCTGAGCTTTTTGAATGTTGAGAAAACAGTGTAAAATTATAATATATTGTGGATAAGAAATTTCATTGTCAATCTTTCAATTTTCTGACAGTAGATTCTACATCTGATTCATGAATAATTTGATGATTCACTTAGTTTTTCTTTCAATTTTAATCTGCACATTAATCCGACTGAGGCTGTTTACAGCTGCAGTCAGATTTTGAATATTTTTATCAATATTCTTTGATTTTGAATATTTTTTTAAATGATTGACATTTTTGAATATTGATGAGTTTTTTGTGAAAGATGATGAGCTATCTTCAATTTCTGAATCTGCTGTAGAAGATTCTTTCATTTCATATATTATTATATGATATTTAATTGCAAATCAGTTAATGATAAATCTGTTCTCAAACAATTTTCTGATAAATTCTTGAAATTCAGAGCCATGTTCTTGAAAGATTTCAAGATCAGAATGTTTGAAGAAATACTCATTCATAATTTTTTTATCATTGATATAGATTTCACATTTGTGATTGTATATTCAGTCAGATATCTGGTTTTTATATTTCATTTAAAGTATTTAAATATGTCTGATTTTTCTTCATTGATTATCACATATATTTTTGATTATTGTCTGATTTGTTGATTGTTTGATAATCTGTATGACAAGGTTTTAACCTGCAGATTTGAAGTTGCTATTGTCTGTATTCAATCCTTTCTTTTTCATTTTCAAAAGTTCAGTAAGTAGAGCCTTTTTCATTATGAGACTTTATGATATTTTCAGTCATTTGATTTGAGAAGCAGGCATTCACTTTCAAGAGACAGTAGATGTTTGATAAGATGATGTTTCAGAGTGTGTTTGAGAGAGTGTTTGAAAGGATAATAATTGAAAATTCAATCACTGGCTTGGTGAGGTTGGAATTGTAGAGGTTTGAGTATTGCCATCCTTCACATTTAGATATTGCATTAAGGCATTATACTGCGACATTCTTGTTCACTGCTTTCATGAATTCTAGCTAATAATGAGGGTTAAAATATAGGCAAATCAATCATGGATTTGGGAGAATATGATCTCAACACATCCGCGTTGAATGTGAAATTAAAAAGCAAGCATGGAGTGATCTCAATTATGGAATAGTGTGGTGGCGCAACGCCGGCTTGCTACTAATTAATTGGTAAATACGCTATTTTTAATGAGATCCACTATTGCGTTCAAAAAGTACGGACGCACCGAACAGGCCCTTACTCTGTCAGATCCTGCAAATAATATTATCATGGCCGCCTACGCCCAACCCTCAAAAAGTCAAACCATGATGTTGCAGTTTTGCTAGACACTTCTAGGAAGGAATTTCGACCATCAGAACCAGTCCGTTGGCCAATAACCAGCCCACTGGCACAGACCAAGTTCTCTGCTGGATCCGGATTTACACACCAGCTTCGTTTCCACCTCTTCCGCGCGTTCATTGGTCTTTTTTTTTGCTGTTTTTGTTCATTCAGTTGTGAAAATAATAATTCAGAAAAAGCACGATATCCATTCCAGATCATGTGTATAAAGCTCGAAGTTGACAATACACAGGAAAATTGAACCACTTGGAAGCAACTTGGTTGCACAGAGGAGATCAAAAGATGGTTCAGCCATGTGTCCGATTTTGAGCCCCATCACCTTATCCCTTGCCGCAACGAAGGTTAATCCTGCCGAGAATCAGACATGTATTTCAGCTCATGGTTCTTGCGCTCACCCCACAACCCTCAACATGGCATCGGAAAGGATGTTGGACCGTGTTGGGTGCAGATGCGGCCATCAGAACCATGTCCGGGTTTTGGCGCTATCCTGTAGCGCGGACCCCAGGTTGCGCTCACCATTGGCCCAGTTGACTCCCTAAACGACATACGCACTACTGCAAGTTACGACTGGAAAAATTAATCATTGCACCCTTGCCCATGGAGCATATTGCATGCAGCTACCGTATGGGTCCACCTCCCATGGGATATTTGAACCCGGAAAACATTCAACGCTGTACATAGTATTATCAAAATATTCTGACTCGGGCGGTTAACGCCGAAGCTGAAACCGTTGTCACTTGCTTGAAGGAGATCTCAAGGTTACAACTACACCACGGACATCCATTTTCCACTCCTCCCGCGATATCGTCAGGAACCGAAAATGGCTGAGAGGCAATCTGCCTCGTCCGTATTGATACAGAAGGGTCTCTGGCCAATTTTGTTCAGATGCGCAGGAATTTTTACTTCGTACTAAGTGGGTTTGCAGCTTATGCGGCGTTACTTTCGGCCCGAAGCCGTTGTTGGTGCATGCCGCGAGTCCCGCAGACTTATATTGAGCTCCACAGTTGAGCTCCATGGCAGTTTGTCCCTCAAGTCCACGCTTTAGTCTTCCTTAGCTGAGTTTAGTCACTCCAAAACACAGCTCTTTTGCTACAAAAGCCCCTTGTGAAAGTGACGTGGCTCCAACATTGCAACCTTGACGAAGCATTCCCCGATACAACTGCAAGTTCGCGGGTTTTACACTGTCATCCGCTGGGGAGATTTCCCTTTAGAGCGCTTTGCGCTCATAGAACTCTTGGTCTCCATCGTTGCCCCGCATCCCTCAAGTTACGAGTGGTCAAGTTCCCAACGATCCCTCATCGTCCATTAAAAATCAAGAATAGACAATACGTGGCCTGAACTGATTAATTTTGGGGGGTGATAATGATGGACAAGACTTATGCAAGGCTCTCTGATGAGCGGAGGGTGAGAGGGGTAGGGGAGGGGAAGCGCGGGAAAAGCAAGATTCAGAT